GTTTGGGAATTCCCATTCTCAATGTTATCCATAATTTGTCATGATCCACACAATCAAATGCCTTTGCATAGTCAATAAACACAAGTAAACATCTTTCTGGTATTCTTTGCCTTGAGCCAAGATCCATCTGACAACAGCTATGATATCCCTTGTTCCATGTCCTCTTCTGAATCCAGCTTGCACCTCTGGAAATTCTCTGTCAATATACTTCTGCAACCATTTTAAAATTATCTTCACTAAGATTTTACTTGCGTGTGATATTAATGATATTATTCAATAATTTACACATTCTGTGGGATCACCTTTCTTTGGAATGGGTACAAATATGGATCTCTTCCAGTCAGTTGGCCAGGTAGCTGTCTTCCAAATCTCTTGGCATAACTGAGTGAGTGCCTCCAATGGCGCATCCCTTTGTTGAAACATCTCAGTGGGTATTCCATCAATTCCCAGAGCCTTGTTCTTCACCAGTTCATTCATTGCAGCCTCGACTTCCTCCTTCAGTACCGTTGGTTCTGGATCATATGCCACTTCCTGAAATGGATGAAGATCGACCAGTTCTTTTTCGTGCAGTGACTCTGTGTATTCCTGCCATCTTCTCTTGATGTTCTCTTAGCAGTCCATGGTACTTTCAGCATTCTTTGCCAGCACCACAACTCAAAAGCATCAACTCTGCATCATTCAATATTTTGCTCAATATTGCAACTTGAGGCTTAAATTTTTTCTTCGATTCTTTCAGCTTGAGAAATGCTGAGTGTGTTCTTCTCTTTTTGTTCTCCAACTCCAGGTATTCACACATTTAATTATAATAATTGGTTTTTTCTGCTTGAGCTGCTCTTTGAAATCTGTTCAGATTTTTAACTTGTCATTTCTTCCATTTTCTTTAGCTACTCTCCACTGAAGGGCAAGTTTCAGAGTCTCTTCTGTCATCCATTTTGGTCTTCTCTTCTTTTCTCATCTTTTTAGTGATCTCTTGCTTTCTTCATCTATAATGTTCTTGCTGGCATGACTCAAAATGAGAAGAAACAGATGCACATATCCATTAGCAATTAAAACATGGAATGTATGTTGTATGAATCTAGAAAAACTGGAAGTTGTCAAAAATAAAATGGAACACATCATGATTGATATCTTAGGCACATAACAATAACAACAACCTCTTAGGCATTAGTGAGCTGAAATGTACTGGTAATGGTCATTTTGATGCAAACAATCATATGACATACTATACTGGGAATGACAAATTGAAGATGAGTGGTGTCACATTAATAGTAAAAAATAACATTTCAAGATCTATCCTGAAACACATTGATGTTAGTGATAGGATTATATCTGTACAATCACAAGGAAAACCAGTTAATACATCTATTATTCAAATTTATACACCAACCATTAATGCCAAAGATTAAACTTTTTACCAAATTCTTTAGTCAGAAATTGATCAAATATGCAATCAAGATAATTGTTAATTGGGTTCTGGTAAGATTGTGGAAGGAGCTCTGGTAGCATAGTGCCTAAAGCACTTGATTGCTAATCAGAAGGCCAGTGGTTCAAACCCACCAGCCACTTCTCAGAAGGAAGGTTGAACAATCTACTTCTGTAGTGATACCGCCTCAGAAACCCAAATGAGTCAGATTTGACTCGACAGCACACAACAACAACAACAACAACAACAAGATTGTGGAATAGGCAGACAATATACAGATCCTGTTCAACAAAGAAAAAGGGAACCAATTGACACAGATACAGAGGATAATCCTGGAGCTGTGAGCTTTGAAAGAAAGGATATAGAAATGGACTAAACTCCAACTAGTAGAAGAACCCAAAGAAAACACCAAAAAAACAAGACATAGGAAGCTATGGTCTGTAACTGATCCTGATGGTACAGACAGCTTGGATGTCACCAAGTGGTGATGGGACCAAAGAGTTAACCTAAAAATCAGCCCTGCTAGCCAGGTGCTGCACAGAGGACTGCACTGGTGACGGGTGAATAAAAAGGGACGCATCAAAGAGGGAGATGGGCTAAGCTGTGGACTTTTGCCTGTCAGGAGAGTGCAGCCATTTTGAATGTTTACAAGCAGTTGGACCATTTTGAATATTTAAAGCAACAGCATTCTCCCAGATTCCAGGAACTTAAGAATAGTTTCTACTTGCTGGGAACCACAAGGACATTCAGGACACAAATGACTAGAAAGGTATGATATTCCCCTTGTTACTCTTAGACCCTGCACCCTCTTGGTGAACAGAGGTGTGGCTATCCCTCACTCTCACCCACCTTCTGGGCTGGCAAGAGTTCCATCCAAGTCTGTGTGCTTGATGGAGCCTAGGTGCCCTGCCCCGCTCTGCCCAGATTTTTTTTT